TTTGGTTGTAGATCACTAGAAACATAATCAGAACAAATTAGCAATCTGTAGTCCGGTCAGTATTAGAGTGCATTGTGTTCTAGAGTTTATTGTGCCCAAACCAAACCAAACTAATTAGCTATGGTGTAGCTTACAACTAAACTTACATATATACATGTACAATGATTGCATGTTTCTTTCCATTCTCCTTTGTTGTTCTGACCACCCTGCATTTGACCTGTACATAGATCTGTGTGCAATTTTACTTCAAGTGTGTGTGTGTTTGTTTTTATGAATTTATTTCAGATCTATTACCGAAGCTTTTATTAACATTGTATCCTGAAGCTTCAATAAAATTTGTCTTTTAGTTTTACCACTAAAGTCCATGGCAACATCATATGCCAGAATTGTATAAATTTTAAGCAAGATTGAAGATGAGTCAGTACCTTTAAACCCTGTTACAGGAAACAGATGTAAGGAAATTGACATCCTGCAGCAAATGACCCTTCCGCATTATACTAATCTGATTTGGATAGAACCCTGGTGGATGTTGTCATTAGCTTGCATGCTTTTAGCACACATGACTGATGCTCTTCCAAGAGCTTTAAAAGCTTCTGTGTTATCTTTTATCAGTAGATTTTATGATCGTGGTACTAATTACTTGATGTGTCTTGCCCCTCACCTCCAGGATGGGGAGACTGCCCTGCATTGTGCAGCCTGGCATGGATACAGCAATGTGGCCCAGCCTCTTGTATCAGCCAACTGTAACCTGAACACTAGAAACAAGGTACAGACACAACAAGATGTGTAGGAGGCAAAACAGGAATGATCATGGCGGGACTGTATCAAATGACAACTTCAAACAAAATCACGTTTGCATGAAAACCCTGGTAAAGAAAATTTACCAACAATAGTGTAAAATGACAAGATTGGAAAGGCTGAAATTTATCCTAGTATATCTTCTGGCACAACGTTTTTGCCAAATTAAAACCTTCCAAATTACTGCTTATCACAAAAATACAATTACGCAGGAATAAAAAAATAACAGATGGTGTATTGAGGAGCGTCAGGAAATAGAAGGCAATGTTGATAAGGTTGATGACACAAATGTTTGTATACGTATGATCTGCATGTGAACAGGACATAGTGTACATTTTTCTTGTTTGAATCATCATGTCTGTGAATATAGTATTGACATTGACAATGACTACATTGTAATCATTAACCACAGACAATTATTTATAGTGGGAAGGCATAAATTTCTATGAGGAGATTGTACCAACACAAGAACGAAACTTTTAATCAATGCACAAGAAATTTCACAGAATATTTAAAGAACAACAGAGGATGAAATTTCCTCTTAACACATCCCATGAATTAGTCTCAAAACCTCATACATGTAGCACTGAGTTTATCAATATTAGTCATTACTTATGTATCCCATAAGCCATAAAATCGTAGAACACAGAAGTTCTTGTCTATCTAACCATTACAACATCTACAGCATCAATGTTGATTCCTTGTTGCAGGATGAGGAAACCCCAATAGTATGTGCTGCTGTGCGTGGACATCTGTGTATCGTCATGTGCTTGTCAGATGCTCGAGCTCTCCTCAACATCCCTGACAAGGTATGTGTGCTCTTTAGTTTACTTTGTATATGGTTTTAGCTGTTTTAATATCAAAATAATGATACTCTAGACGTTTTCATAACTAAATTTGCTTTTTAGTTGTCAAAAGAAGCCTTGTAATAGGTGCCAACCAATTTGTTTCAAAAGTAATGCTCTTTAAAGAGATCTAGATACAAAAACCTGTTTCTGTTCTGGTCTCTCTCCCAGAATGGCTGTACTGCTCTTCACCTGGCTTCAAAGAGACAACATGTGGAGGTCTGTGAATACCTGTGCAGAGTTGGGGCCAAAGTCAACCTGGCTGATAAGGTATCAATCCTATAGCACTTCCATTTGGTTAAAGGCAGACAAAACTCTTTTTTTTTCTGCCCACTTATATATAAAAAGTATACAAAAAAGTCCATTAGTTACTTGTTTTACATTAGTCCATCACAGATTAGCGTTTTAATGGAATTTGATACTCGCCCCGTGGTGAGGTCTGATATGGTGCGGTCTGGCGACCTTTGACCCCTATGACGTAATCTGACCTCTGAATAGCACCAGACATTACTAGAACGTCCTTGGGGAGGGGTGCATATCCGCGCCATGCCTCCCTGCGTAGTTTGTAGCGGCCCGAAAGGCAAGGATGTGACCCTTTTTACGTTCCCTAAGGATGACAATAGACTTCATCAGTGGCTTGTGGCGGTGAGGACACACCTAAAACCACCGTGGACGGTAGAAAAAATTCGAGAGTTGCGTGAAAGTGGTTCAAAAGCTGCAGGTGCACGCATCTGTTCGGACCATTTCTCCCCGACCTGCTGTAAAGAAAATCTCAAGACGAGATTTCAACCCTATGTAAAAGGAGCCAAATTCGTCCTTACGAAGGATGCCGTGCCAACCCTGTTTGGCGAAGAGACGTCACGCAAGTCGTCTGAAAGTCAACGTGATAAGAGGAGCAGAAAAAAGGTTTGTGCAAGTTTTCGGTGGTTCGAACTTACGATTACTCTATCATAATTTCTTATTATTTTCCAATTTTCATACTGCACAGAGAAAAGTTATTTTTCGATCTAAATTTCCGGAAGTAAACTCCATACTTTATCCTGTATTAGTAGATTTTTTCTATCTAGTATTTTACGGTAGAAATGTTGCACTTACATTGTTTTTGTAGAGAACCTAGCCTGAGAGAATTCGAGAATGTGACATTGTTTTTGTAGAGAACCTAGCCTGAGAGAATTCGAGAATGTGACATTGTTTTTGTAGAGAACCTAGCCTGAGAGAATGTGAGGTTTATGCAGTAAATATGTCATGAATTCTACATAATGGTTGACATAGCATTTTGTTAGTTTTTTGGCATATAGATTATGCTCTCTAGTATTATAGCCATTATATATAAGTGGTGAAAATGGTAGGTGTGATTTTTATTTGATTTGCATTACAGTATCAGCAAAAGACATGACTGGAGAAGGCCACCCTGTTTTTGTTTATCAATTGTGAATTGTCATCAAGCAAAGAAGATAGACAAATATTTTCTTATGTCTGTGAGGAACTTGAATAATAAGCATTATTATATTTTGCTGGCTTATAGAATAACTAGACTTAGTAATAAGTACT